TCTCAAATTGGTTTTACCACATGTCATCCTGAGTTGAATTTATCCTAGGAAGGTTCAAGTAAATTATGGGTAAATATAGTGTCAGTGAAGAAATAATATTAGTTGGAAAGTGAAAAAAACTTTACATATTTTAAACTTGAAAAATTATGTGCAGAGTTGCCATTTCATCTTCTGGGTAGAAGGCTCATATCTACATCTACAGTTTGCCAACCTCCACAGGGCTTATAGATTCAATAGTTAGATATAGGAGAAGCCTCTGGAAAATATTCTAGAATTATTAAATAACAGAGTAAAAAAGAGATATTCAATAGATAAAAGATACTCATTTCACAGAAGTAGTTTAAAATTCAGCAATGACTTTTGCTGAAGAAAATGCCACATGCAACCAATACTGTACATCAAATTAGAAAAGAGATTATACCAACAATCTATTTATATGTCAACCTCAACTACAGAGCATTGGAAACAAAGTTATCTCAGATATATTTCACATAGAAAAGAGAAAATATGGTAGAGAAGTTAGCAGGAAGAAAGGAAATTACTGAGTGAGAGTTACACAAGTGTTAGACTTATGCAGATTATGTTAGTGGAATATATAATTAGCTGATACCATTGTATCTTTTCTGTAGCCTGTCAAAAAACATAGGACAAAGGTAGGTACGATTTTATTCAAAACTATTGCACCAGAGATAGAGCTTACTGCAATTGGGGAGAGAGACTAACTCAACTCTACTAAAAACAAAACAAAAACATTTTTAAGTGTTAAATAAGGGAAAATACTGGAGGAAACTTGGTAACCTTTGTTAATTGTCCCATATCAACCCTAGAAGTGAGATAATAAGGACCTCATCATTCTTGATAATTGTATTTCAAGGAGATAGCTCCAAAATTCTAGTGAATGACCATTTTTGAGGTATATCTTTGGCATGCATCTGAGAGATTTTTACATTAATAGTCTATTGTAGAAAATAATTTATAGTTGTAAGTTTTCTAAAGTACATGCTATTAGAAAACTGAAGTCATTATCAGACTAGAGGATGCCTGTCTAAGCTGTCAAGTTGAGGAGATTATTTTGGTTTTTTGGTCTGATTCTATTTCTTTATCACTAAACTTTGCCCATTTTTTAATACATAATTTTTTTGTCAGTCATGAGGCCTGAACTCCGGGCCTGGGCACTGTTCCTAAGCTCTTCAGCTCAAGGCTAGAGCTCCACCACTTGAGCCACAGCACCACTTCCTGCTTTTCCTGTTTATGTGGTGCTGAGGAATCAAACCCAGGGCCTCATGCATGCAAGGCAAGCATTGTACCACAGAGGCACCTTCTCAGATCCTAATTTATACTTCTTAATATATGTTTTGTAAAGATACTGTACAGAAAGGTTACAGTTACACGAGTAAGGTAATGAGTACATTTTCTATGGAGCATTCTTAGCCCCTCCTTTGTTTTTTCTGCTACCATCCTTACCCACCCCACCTTCCTAAATCCTCCCTGTCCCTGAAGTTGTAAAGTTCATTTTCAACATAGTCTCTTGTACATCTCATTGTTACAATGGGTTAACCTGTAACTTTGTTTCAGCATTTTGTTATTTACCTTCACCTCCCCAAATCAGAAAAATATATATACAAGATACAGGGCACTGGAATTAAATAGAGTGAAAACAGGGTTTATACCATGGGGGAAGAACAAACCAAAGAAACAAAATCACCTAGTACATTATAAGTACATCAAAAACAACAGCAAGAAAGAATAAAACCTCTTGTGTCCCTATCTTGGGGTTCATTTCACTACCATCATCTTATATAGTCATATGTACATAGCTTTTGACCTTTTCTGCTTGTCTGGTAAGATTATCTTAAATATATATTAGTTATTGCAAATAAGAGAAACTATGGGACCTATGTTTCTTTGGGTCTGGCTTACTTCACTTAATATGATTTTTTCCCAAGTCTTTCCATTTCCTAACAAATGGGGGGCATTCTTTCTGATGTAAGCATCAAATTCCATTATATATATATATATATATATATATATATATATATATCACATTTTTTTTTTGGATCCAGTCTTCTACTGAGGGGCATCTGGGTTGGTTCCATATCTTAGCTATGGTGAATAATGCTGTGATAAACATAGTTGTGCTGGAAGCTTTAGTATGGTCATGTTTTTGATTGTTTGGGCAAATGCCCAAATGTGGGATTGCTGGGTTATAAATAAGGGAGATCTATGCGTAGTCTTTGAGGAAACTCCATACTGCTTTCCAAAATGATTGAACAAATTTACACTTCCACCAACAATACAGTAGGGTTCCCTTTTGGCCACATCACCTCCAGCATCTGTTATTATTAGATTTCCTGATTATAGCCATTCTAACTGGAATGAGGTAGAATCTCTATGTTCTTTTGATTTGCATTTCTTTTATGGCCCGAGAAGTTGAGCATTTCTTCATGTGTCTATTAGCCATTCTTATTTCCTTTTCAGAGAATTCTTTTTTTTAAGTCTTTAGCCCACTTGTTAATTAGGCAGTTGTTTCTTTGAAGAATTGTTTTGGGGAATAATTTTTTAAGAATTTTTTTATTGTGAAAATACTGTACAGAGGGGTTACAATTACATGGGCAAGATAATGAGTACATTTCTTATCAAGCATTGTAGTCTCCTCCTTTGTTTCCCCTTCCCATACCTTCCCATCCTCTCCCCGCCCCCCAATCTTCTCCAGCCCCCCACCCAATGGGGGAATTAATTTTTTTAAGTTCTAAGTATAGATATGAGACCCCTGACCATTGTATGCCTAGAGAAAATCTTCTCCCAATCTGTAGACTTTCTATTGATCTTGCTAGCTGTGTCCTTTGACATGCAGAAGCTCTGCAGTACAATGCAATTCTATTTGTCCAAACTTTCTTTAATGTGTTGTTGTGTTTCTGAGCCTTTAAGAAAATTTTGGTCTGTGACAGGAAGCCCTAGAATTTCTCCTATTCCTTCCTGTAATATTTTCAGGGTGTCTGCTTTGATTTTGAGGTCTGTGATCCATTTGGAGTTGATTCTGGTGCAGGGTGATAAGGATCTAGCTTTTGTTTTCTACAGGTGTTTTACCAGTTTTGCCAGCATCATTTACTGAAGAGGCTGTTTTCCTTCATTCTATTTTTAAGTCCTTTATCGAAAATTAGGTAGCTATAGGTCTGTGGGTTCATTTCTGAGTTTTCAGTTCTATTCCATTGGTCCTCAAATCTGTTCTTGTGCCAGTACAAAGCAGTTTTGATTACTATAACTTCGTAATAAAGTTTGAAGTTTGGTATTGATATTCCTCCAGCACTGTTCTTTCTGCTAAGGATTGTTTTTGCTATTCAGTATATTTTATTGTTCTATATGAATTTTTGGATTGCTTCTTCTATTTCATTGACAAATGATGTTGGGATATTGATAGGTATCACATTGAGTTTGTAAATAGCCTTTGGCAGTATTGCCATTTTCAGGATGTTAACCTTCCAATCCAGGAGCATAGGAGGTTTTTCCACTTTCTTAGTTTTACTTCAATTTCCATTTTTAAAGTTTTCATCATAGAGGCCCTTCACTTCTTTAATTAACTCCTATGTATTTTATTTTTTGTGGGGCTATTACAAAATGAGTTGCTTTCCTGATTTCAGCTGTGCTCTTCTCATGATTGGCATACAGGAAAGCCATTGATTTTTTTAAAATAGCTTAAGTATTTTATTTGTTTGCAACTAAGCTTGTTAATACTATATAATGAAAATGTAGAAAGAATAATATTGCAGTTGTTGGTTAGACTTAAGTAAAGTCATTCATCAATAAGGAATCTTTGAATGTTAACATCCCAGAAATTTCTCTAAGCCATCTGATCAGAACAACTGTTTCTGAATATAACCTTACTTTAGAAGGAATTGGCATACATTTGAATTAAAACTCAAGAATTTTTTTTCAAAATATGCCATAATTAAAACAACAACAACAACAATCTTCTATATTCAAACTAAAACAATTTTAATAGAACTTCCCTTTTCAGAAACAGTAACAAACAAGGAATTTTGTAAAATGTGATCTTGAACAAGTCACAGTAAAAAGAAAAATGCATACTTAATTTTCACCTCCTCAAAACAGAGGTCACCTTCTGTTCCACAACCTTGGAAAAAAGGTAAAGAACAGTTTATAAGCAACTTCAGGCAAGGGGGCTGCCAAAACAAAGCTCAAGCAGTTGAATATGGACACCTCAGAAGTTTGGAAGAACTTGATGCAAGGATCCAAATTCTATTTTTAATAACTGAAAGGTGAAGTGGTTTGTCCCAAATAGCAGTGCTGCCAAGGGCCTGGCCTATCCTAGTGCTCTCTTATGTTATGTTCCTGAGTAAACTCTGATACTCCTGCTCCAGGGGAGACCTTATCTCTGTAGAGCTTCAGTGAATGAGGTGAGTGCAGACTCACAGTGTATTTTAAGGCTTGGAGTCAAATAATTTTTCTAACAAGGCTAGCCAGAGTCCATGTGTCCATGGCCTGTCTCCAGTTTGTCCTAATTTCTCACCATGGACTTGTAGATCTTGGTCTGAAGACTTCGGCTATATCATCATAATCACATCTAATGTCCACAGTAACTTAGGATTCATATTCTGTGCCTGGAAACAGACCGTGTTTTTAACAATAAAACCTACACATAAAACAATCCACTGTTACAATTTATATGGTCACAAAACATTAATGCTCTTTTGTAGACCAAGCAAATGTTTTTAACCATAAATTTTCTTGCATCAAATTCACAGCCAGAATCCCTAAGATCAAAAAAAACCCCTGAACAATACAAATAATAACTTAAAACACACATACACACTCTCACACACACACACTTCTTACAAAACTGTGCTTGGAGAAACTCCATTTGTTGACTGCCACTGATGGAATGTTTTGCTAAACCGCTGCTTCAAGTATTTTTGTTTGTAAAATTTATCACAGTAGGGCACAGCTGTTTATTGGATGAGCAGAAAAGAAAGATATACTTCTGGCAACAGAAAGTTTTAAGGTCTTTCAAGTTGTATAAAATGGACCTGCAGAAACATTGAAGTATTCTCAGGATGCAAAGTTGGAGCTGAAATGTGATATCAAACCAGTTGCAAAAAGTGTACAGCAACCATCTCTTGAGGTCAAACCTGGTACCAGATATGCAATAGAGCTTCAGGATACATAGCTTTTGGCCTTGTCCCATATTGCCGCATAGTCTGATCATGTGTGAATTTCACAAATGACTCATACTGTTCTGCTAGTTTAGTATTGAGGATTTGTTCATACTCCTCCCGAATTTTTTCTTCATAGTCTTTTAAGAGTCGCTCACATATTATTCGAACTTGTGAAGGGTAAAAGTAGGCTGGTTTTTCTTCATCCAGGAAAAACCTGGAGAACTAGGTGCTGTGAGTGTGGAAGAGACAGGATGGCTTTTTGAAGTACATGCTTCACTTTGATTGAGAATGAATTCTAAATGTCTCCACTTCTGAAAATGACTATATTCTTGCTCTATGTTCTGAAAATTTTGCTCCGGAGTTGGAAGGCGCTGCTCGCTGCTGGTCGAAGCTGGCTGAGTGGGCAACAAGATTTGAGTTGAAAACGGCTGTTTCTCGGAGTCTGGGGCCTCAGGCCCATTGTCGGGCCAGGCAGAGGGGCACAGCACCGCTGCTTTGGCGAACAGGGACTCAACAGCATTGCCTCGAACTCCATAGGCAGTTTCTGTGTCACCCCGCGTGCCATTCTGCTGAGGGGGCAGGGACCAGGAGCATCATGGCAGCAACTGTGGCCTGAGCTCCAGCTGCTCATTGATTTTTTGTTTGCTTGTTTTTGTTTTTGTCAGTTGTGGGGCTTGAACTCTGGGCCTGGGCCCTGTCCCTCAGCTCTTCAGCTCAAGGCAAGCACTCTAGCATTTAAGCCACAGTGCCACTTATGGTTTTCTGGTGGATTATTGGAGATAAGAGTTAAGACTTAAATAACTTAGAGTCCCCCCAAAAGCACAGAACAAATCAACAAAACAAAGAGTTGGTTCTTCAGAAAATTAACAAAATTGACAGACCCTAAGCAAAAAGAAGAGAACAAGAAAAAGAAGAGAACACACCCAAATAAACTCAGAGATGGGAATGTAAACACCACAACAGAAACAACCAAGATTCAGAACATTATAAGGTAATACTTTTCAAAACTTTATGCTAAATAATTTGAGAATTTGGAGGAAATGGATGAATTTCTAGAAAATATTAATATGTCCAAAATCAACCAAGAAGATTTAAACCAACTAAACAAACACATATCATGTATTGAAATAGAAACAGCAATAAGAGACTTCCTATCCAAGAAAAGCCCAGGACCAGATGGATTCATAGCTGAATTCTCTAAGGCCTTCAAAGCAGAACTCACACCAATACTCTTCCAACTTTTCAATGAGATTAAAAGTGAAAGTGTACTACCAAACTCTTTCTATGAAGCCAGCATAAACCTCATCTCAAAACAAGGAAGGGACTCATCAGAGAACCTTAGACCCATTTCTTTGATGAACATCGATGCGAAATTTCTCAACAAAATTTTGGCCAATCAACTTCAACAACGCATCAAAAAAATCATATACTATGATTAAACAGGATTCATTCCAGGAATACAAAGATGGTTCAATGTGTGCAAATCAATTAATGTAATTTGTAACATCAACAAGACCAAGGAGAAGAACTTCATGATTATCTCAATAGACACAGAAAAAGCATTTGACAAGATCGAACACCCCTTTATGATGAAACCTCTGGAGAAACTAGGAATCCATGGAACATTCCTCAATATAAAAAGGCTGTGTTTAACAAACCTTACAGCTAGCATTACATGTAATGGTGAAAAGTTAAAACCATTTCCTCTAAATTCAAAAGCAAGACAAGGATGTCTGCTCTCTCCACTCCTCTTCAATTTAGTATTAGAATGCCTAACTACAGCAATAAGACAAGATGCAAACATAAAAGAGATCCAAATAGGGAAAGATGAAGTAAAGCTCTGCCTCTTTGCAGGTGACATGATCTTGTATTCAGAGAACCCCATGGACTCTACTCCAAAGTTACTTGACCTAATCTTTGGCAAAGTAGCAGGGTATAAAATTAACCCTCAAAAATCAATGGCTTTTCTGTACCAATAATGAGAAGGGTGTGGTTGAAATCAGCAAAGCAACTCTTTTTGTAATAACACCCCCCCCCAGGAATATAAACTAACAAGGAATTAACTAAAGAAGTAAAGGATCTCTATGATGAAAACTTTAACAACATGAAAAAGGAAATCAAAGCAAAACTAAGGAAGTGCAAAAACCTCCCATGCTCCAGGATTGTGAGGATTAACATTGTAAAAATGGCAATACTGCCAAAGGCCATCTACAAATTTAATGCAATACCCATCAATATTCCAACCCCATTTTAATGGAACAGAAGAACCAATACAAAAATTCATATGGAACAAGAAAAGACTCCAAATAACAAAAATTCTTAGCAGAAAGATCAGTGCTGGAGGAATATCAAAACCAAACTTCAAACTTTATTACAAAGTTATAGTCATCAAAACTGCTTGGTACTGGCACAAGAACAGATCTGAGGACCCATGGAATAGAACTGAAAACCCAGAAATGCACTCACAAACCTATAGCCACCCTATCTTCGATAAGGGATCCAAAGAAATAGTATTGAAGAAAGACAGCCTCTTCAGTAAATGGAATGGCAAAACTAGTTAAACACCTGTAGAAAACTAAAGCTATATCCTTTTATCTATCACCTTGCACCAGAATCAACTCCAATTGGATGAAAGACCTCAAAGTCAAAGCAGACACCCTGAAAACATTACAGGAAAGAATAGAAGAAACTCTATGGTTCCTTTTCACAGGCTCAAATTTTCTTAATAAAGGCTCAGAAACACAACACATTAAAGAAAGTTTGGACAAATAGAAGTGCATTGTACTGCAGAGCTTCTGCTTATCAAAGTACATAGCTAGAAAACTCAATAGAAAACCTACAGATTGGGAGAAGATCTTCAGTAGCCCAAAACAGACAAGTGCCTCATATCCAAAATATACATAGAGCTTAAAAAATTAATTCCCCCAAAACAAATCTTCAAAGAAACAACTACCTGCTTAATAAATGGGCTAAAGAAAGTCTTCTCTGAAGAGGAAATAAGAGTGGACAATAGACATCTGAAGAAATGCTCAACTTCTTTGGCAATAAACGAAATGCAAATCAAAAGAAAATTGAAGGCTGGGAAGTTGGCTCAGTGGTAGAGTGCTTGCCTCACATGCATGAGGCCCTGGGTTGATTCCTCAGCACCACATAGCAGAAAAAAGCCAGAAGTGATGCTGGGGCTCAAGTGGTAGAGTGCTAGCCTTGAGCTTAAGATCTGTGGGACAGTGCCCAGGCCCAGCGTTCAGGCCCCACAACTGCAAAAAAAAAAGAAAAAAAAAGGAAAAAAAAGATGAACATTGAGTTTCCACCTCATCCCAGTTAGAATGAATATAATCAAGAAATCTAATAACAATAGATGCTGGATGTGGACAACAGGGAACCCAATGCACTGTTGGTAAGAATGTAAACTTGTTCAACCACTCTGGAAAGCAGTATGGAGGTTCCTCAAAAGACTTAACATAGAGCTCCCCTATGACTCAGTGATCTCACTTTGGGCATTTACCCAAATTATCACAAACAAGGCTATACTAAAGCTACCAGCACAACAATGTTTACTGCAGCATTATTTACCATAGCTAAGATATGGAACCAACCCAGATGTCCTTCAGTAGATGAATGGATCAAGAAAATGTGATATATATATATATGTATGTATATATATATACATATATATATGTATATGTACATACACACACACACATATATATATACACATATATATTTATATAATGAAATTTGATGCTTCTATCAGAAAGAATGACATTGACCATTTGTTAGGAAATGGAATATCAGACCCAAAGAAACATAGGTCTCATGGTTTTCCTTATTTTCAATAATTAATGTACATCTAGGATAATCTTAACAAATGAGCATACATAGCTCAGTAGCTATGTACATATGACTTTATAAGATGATGTTAAGTGAAATGAACTCCAAGACATGGACACAGAAGTTTTTTGTTGTTGTTGTTTTTAATGTACTCTGTGATTTTTTTGTTTCTTTTGTATGTTCTTCCCCCTATGGTATATCCCCTGTTGTCATTGTGTTTGATTTTGGTATCCTGGTATTTTATACACATTTATCTGGATTAGGGAAAGGAAGGGTAACAACTGAATGGTGAGACAAAGGGTAAGGAGGGAACCAATGCAACAGCGATACTCACAAGACAATATGTTGGAAATGATCTGTACATCTTGGAAGAAGGGAGGGGAGAGAAAATGGGAGAAAAATGAGGGGGAAGGGTGACAAGTTTGACAAGAAATGTACTTATTACCTTACTTATGTTACTGTAACCCCTCTGTAAGTCACCTTGACAATAAAAAATTGAACCCCCCAAACAAAACAATATTAAAAATAATGGATAAAAAGAAATATTAAAAAGAGATAACAAGGGAGTATGCTATCATGAGAGATAGTGTAACTTGTTATGGTGTTAGTAGCTGTTTACCAGTTGGATCAGGTGAGCAGAGATCATTGTAGTTGAGACCTGACAATACAACATTCCTAATGGGGGAATATTATACAAGCCTAGAAATGTGGGACACCATCAAATCTACAAAATAACATATGTTAGATGCAGTTCCAAGCCCTTTGTGAGCATTGAGCATTTTAACCTATGACATCCTTATGAGGTGGACATTATCATTCCCACGTTTCATATGGGAAAGTCTTCCTTGTAGATTTTTCTGAAATTGGACCTCCCACAGTTGAAAAGTGACAAAGACCATGTTGCAGTTTAACACTCAGGCAGTACATGATCTTTATGTCTGTGAAGCAACTGGAAGGTCTGGTATATCCAGAGCATGATGAGAAGGCAGAAATTAGACAAAGCTGAGATCAGAGTGACAAATCATGCCATTTAGGGTTTATGGGCCAATAAAGGTGCTGAAATTTTAATCGGTAAACTGTGGGAATTCTCTAGCAGGAAAATTTTCAGCAGGAAAATCATCAGAACTGTTTGACCTGTATCATCTTGTTTCTGTCCCTTAATGTTTGATATTTATGTTCAGAAACTGTTCTTCTGTTTGCTACTATCAGTTTTAGGCCTGAGAAATGATGAAAGGGGAGAAATTAAAAGGATGTGTTGGTGAGAAACTGGAAATGTTGCTATATCAGGATGTATGGAAACATTCTATCCAAACACGAAAGGCAATCCTGAATTGGATAGTTGTCTGTGTGGTAGGATGGAAGAACTATAAGAGGAAAACACACTACTGAACAGGTCATTTTAACACTCGGTATGACTCGCTTGTGTTCTAATTATGGTTCTTTCACCTGAAGATATCATTTATACTTTATGCAAAACTGCTGGCATATTGCTTACAGAGATATGTCTCCTTGAAGAAAGCCTGGTTTTACCAGTGCATTTTGACAGTAAATCAAGGTTACCTATAATGAAGGTATTCAACATCCTGTAAAAAAAAACCCAAAAAACTCAGGAATGCTATGATGGAGTTATGACTCTAAGCACATGGATCTTATGTGGTTGTTTCATATATTTATGGAAAAAAGTAGTGGATTTACTGAAAGTTAATGGTAGTAAATAATCAAACAAAATATGCA